GCGCTGTGCCCGCCGCCCATTGGCCGCGGCCCGCCGGGAGGGGCCGCTTCCTCCGGGCCGGGCCCCCCCGCGCCGCTCCCGCCGCCGCTGCCCCCGCTCCGCGGCCCGCGTGGCCGCGGCCCGGGGCTGCTGGAAGGGAACGGCAGGAAAACGCCTTTTGGATCGCTTCCCTCGGAGACGTTGTACGGCCGCTTTCGTGCTCTCCGGGAGTTTTGTTGAATCCTGTTTTAAATGGCCAGGAGCGAGAGTTCCTAGGGTTTCCTGTAGCGAGGTGTTCTCCCGGCATAGGTCTCGCTGTTAACTCTTGGCGGTTCAGTCTCGATTTGTGATTGATCGCTTCTTTCTCGTTTGTAGTCGTGGCCATTTCAAGCAACTTTTCCCTCTTATTCTCTTTTCGTTGAAACGCTTATCTTATGTTATTTTTATATATATATATATATATATGGACTGCCCAGGGAGGTGGTGGATTCACCGTCCCTGGAGGTTTTTAAGATGAGACTGGTTGTGGCACTTAGTGCCATGGTCAAGTAACCACAGCAGTGTTGGATCAAGGGTTGGACTTGATGAGCTTGGAGGTCTTTTCCAACCCAGTTGATTCTATGATTCCCAGAGTGTTTATCTGGTATTGAACCGTCCTAAGACTTGCTAAATACCCGTGTGCAGGTAAATAAATACCACGAGTGATTGTGCAATTGGCAGTCATTAATCTCTGCCATCTTGGTATCACTTGCTCATTATCCCCAACTCATAATTTTGTGGATAAATCTTGATGGTGATCAGTCACAGACTCACAGTACCACAGATTTGCTATGGGGGCTCCTTTAGTGGGTAACACAGATTCTTTTCCTTATAGCCATGATAACAGTTTCATTACTAAATAAAACATGGTGTGGGAAGGCAGCTGCCGTGCTCTTAGCATAAACCTGCATCTTTTGGCTGCTGAAAGAGTTGGAACTGAATGAGGTGGAATCCCCACGCTGTTATGATTAATTAAACAAAGACTAAGAAAGCTTCTAAGTTGTACAAAGGCGAAAAATATCAATTTAATCCCATCTCTACCAGATAGATCTTTTTTCCGTTAACTGATGAGGCTCATGTTGGTCCTTCTTGGCAAAACCAGTGACATTTTACAGTGTTTTCTACAGGTGGCCTTTGTGCCACCTGAGACAAACACCTGAATTTCTGTTGCTGTTGTTTGTATTAAGATAGCTGTGGTAAACTTAAGATTGGCTATTTTATTGATTTAATTCAAATAAACAAATATACAAAACTAGCCATGAAACTTAGAGAGACTTTAATTTTCCTGTGATACTTCCTAGCACTTGCACAACTCCCACGATATGTAGTTGGGCCAGAGTTATGGTTTTGGAGCTTTTTCATGTATTTACCGTTTCAGGAAGATACTACTGAATAAAGTCAATAAGCAGTATAAGGGTTTGTTGAATTTGTATTTTTGAAGTTCAATTAAAATTCATGTCCAGTGCTCCTCTTTAAATATTGTCTTGATGTTTTGCAATTGAAAGCTGAAATTGGTTTCAGTGAGTTGGTTCAAATCAAGGAGTCTGTGATATTTTAAAAAATTGGGTTCTGTGAAATGACAAAAAATTGGTAGGTTCATAGATTATTAAAATACTTATTTTAAAAATGCATTATATTACTTGAATAGCACTCCATTTTTAGAATAGGAGTATTCAATTAGCTGGCTGTTAATCTAACTCAAATTCCATAAATATATCACATTCCAGCTTTATGTGTTCAAGTCTCTAAATGTGCAGAATGGAATAATATCCACTTGGAAGGATTGTAAATAGAATTGTCAGTTAAATACTCTAGTTTTATTTTGTTTCAGTGTAACGTATCAACAACAACTGAATTCTTTAAAAAAAGTAATGTAGACAGCTTCTCTTGAATATTACATGCTATTACAGTCTCCTGTAGAAAATAGCTGCAGGCAACAAACCACTTGAAAGTTCGTGCTCCTGTGGTGGGAGCAACTGTGTTAGACTTGGATAAGTCATAAAATGATGTTGGCACATCAGAGCTTTATGAACTTTTTAAAATTAGATTGCTCTTTGTCACTTATGGTTCAGATTTAGAATGATTCGAGAGTCCTCTTTTGTCATGTTCATTTGTTGTGTTACTGTCTCAGTTGTTTTGCTGCAGGCAAATAGTATAGGAGAGATGGTTTTCTGAAACTTATGAGCCAGCAGAAACAGGTTGGATGTTTTACAGAAACCTGAAATACTTTTGTTGCTTATTTTCACCGGATGAATCCCCAAAAGTAAGCAAGTATTTCTGCTGGTTATTGTGCTTGTTGGTTGTGTTACTGGAATGCTGTGTTTTGTCACAGAACTCTGCCTACAGTGTGACCATTTCATCTCTAATTAGTTGGAAAACTGAGAAGAATATTGTAGGTGTGAATTTCCAAAATGGTTCAGTTCGGTTTTGGTGGTGGGTGTTGTTTGTTTGCCTTTTTTTTTTTTTTTAATGTGTGTAATTAAGAAAACATACTGGAAAGAGGAGTGTGTTATCGATTGTGTCTCTGTCACTGATGCGAGAATTTCCAAGAGCTTCATCTGCTTCAGTACTTGTTTTGTCATGGAAAGAAGTGATTGATGGCAGCCATCAACATACCAGTTTAATACTCTTGGAGGTCTGCTCACTTTCTCGGTATCATTTAATACATTCACATTCTGAAAACTTCATCTTCCTTATATGAGGATCACTGACAAAGAGGAAGAGAGAATGAAGTGATGACTTAGTCCTTGGGAAACTGAGGTGAGCAGGGAACTGGAGTTTTAGGTTGGAAAATACAAAGCTTGTACACAGCATCACAGAAGCTTAAATGGTGACATACAAACTTATCACCCTGGATTAGATTGAACGCCATCCAGTATTTTAGATAAACTCCCCTTTTAAACTCCAAGGGTAGGTAAAAATGGGAATTCTTCACGGTCCCAGTGCTCTTCTGTCACTGGCACAGGCAGTCCTGCGGTGTGGGCTGCTCTGGGCCTCCTTCTGCCTCCTGCCCCTTCTGTCCCGTTGAGTTCGCGCGGAGCCGAACGGGGC